CGAAGTCGTGACCAGCCTAGTATCCGATTTGGCGTCCTGCTGAACATGCACAACGGGTAAGGCGGAGGTATCAGTCGAACCTCTTTCGGGCTTGCATCGATAACGTGAGTGTAGATGTGATTGCGGAGCTCTTCAATTATCCAAGTTGTTAGCATATTCTTCGATTCAGAGTGACAGCAGACGATACATACCTCCGGGCAGCTCCAAGAGGTAGCACCGCATGTCGCACAGCGTGCTTGACTGGGGCGGTATGTTCTTCTACTCCCTGTGCATTCGGCTGGTACACGGGGGAGATCCTGCTCGTTTGTGAGGCTGAATACAGATGTAAATATACGGTAACGGTTATATCCGTGAAGAAGGCTAGCACGGACAGCGCGTCATCAGTCGCGCCCGACTCACGGTTACTGCCTAAACGCCACTGTGAACGAGGCCGCGGACAATCTGTAGAAGTACCCAACAAAGTTCCACTGCTAGCTCCGAAGATCGGGCATCTCTTGCCATGTCCGAGGGGTGAAATAGAAATGAAGGCGTTTGCGCAGATAAGCAATGGTTTGCGCTATCTGCTGACTCATCATCCGACTCTCCGCCGTTGCCTAATCGGGATAGCGCGCTCGCCTTTACCGCGCGTTACATCCGCCTCGTATTTCCACTTGGGAATACGCAACTCCTCTCCTCACGATCCCCATCGGAGGATACTGCGACTGTTGCGGATATGGCTGACTTGGCACTCGAAAGTAACGGCGCGACATCTGCGCCGAGAAGCCGCCTTCTTGAGCTACCTGGAGGTAAACAATGCATTCCAAGGTCGAAGATTCATCGCTAACGGCGGCCACAGAGTTGCGCAATCGAATCTACGGCTATCTCATCGATGTCTCGAACCCAAAAATCGTGCGTAGCGCATCCCAGGTCCAAAGCAATTTGGTATATGTACTGATAAGCTTTGCAGTTGACAGTACATGTGGCTCGTTTCTCAAATCCGTCGAGTTTCGATCCGATTACAGCCATACCTTTGCGCTTATATCCGCGCAAGATTTCATCAAAATCTGGAGCAAAGAGAGAGTCTCGCGAAGTCTACTGGCAAAGCTCTCGACCCCTTGCGCTCGGCCCTACGCAGACCTGTCAACTTCTCCGCCGCGAACTTCTTCCGATATTCCTGAGGAGTATGCCTAATTGCACCAATATCACGAACTTAGACTTCTCTGATTGTATCTATGGTCTCAGAGACACGCTCGAAGGTTACGGTCACAGAGATATAGTTTGTGAGATCGATTCTGGGTCCCACGACTACCTCGGGGCGCTCGACCCGCTTTACTTCGTTAGCAAGTTCCCCGGTCGACTCTTAGACTTCCGTATTAGAGCTCGAACCACGAGAGTACCCAAACCAAGGGCAAAAGTACAACCGCAATGGGTCTGGGAGTACTTCATAATCCCGTCAGGCACTCGACTTGTCTTCCGCATGGAACTACCCTACTGCGAGATCATACTTGAGTTCAAGGTGCTGGCCTTTGAACCTTCGTTAGAGCCTGGTATCACTAATCCCTTTCCCGGGAGCCATGAGCTGTTGACTTGGGCGAAGGAAGTGGACCTCTTCGACAATTATAGTCATTCCTACTACGTGCTCGGTCAGACTCGCGTGTCTGCTCAGCCGGAGGATTAAAAGTCCTGGATCGATGTTGGAGAGCTCAACGCTGTAGAGTATGGCCTTGAAAAAATACGTATTGACAAGCTTAGTGGTGAAAGAGAGGACGTTCAATGGTCAATATCCTTCACCCAAACTTCAATACATATACATACAAAAGGTGCCTTCATAGTTTCTACTATCAGGCACGCACAGACTAGTATATTGTACTTGCGACTTCTCTTATTTGTAGGAGCATCTTTTCATCTATGTTTCCGATGTCAAGATCTCAAGGGAAGCATGAGGAAGGTACTGTGAAAGTAATATCGTACATTCACCACCTGCATCGTGCATCAACAGCCATACAATGACGTTTCCCTATTTAACCCCCAGATACTTAGGGCTTGACTCCTCTTCCTCGTCGTTCACCCTCATACGAGCCACCCCAATTCTCAACCAGAAGCCAAAGTTACAAGATGACTTCACACATTCCGCAACCTCAGTCACGCCTACTCCAGCTTCCCGGAGGTAAGTAGCCTCCAGCAGAACCAATTTCAGAATCGCTAATGACATTCTCTTCAGAAATCCGTAATGAGATCTACGACTACCTGGTCGTCCGCCAGCGATACATACACTTTAAACGACCTACAGCAGATGCAAATACTGCGACGCTCCGTGCGTCGAATGACCAGGCCACCCTCAGGATAGCTTTGGGTCTAGTCCACACCTGCCGGCAGCTCCGCAAAGAATTCCAACCCCTCCACCTAAAAGACGTCCACGCAACGGTGAACATTCCCGACATCAACGAATTCATTGCAGACTTCATACCAATACCAGCGACCTGCACGAATACGCTGTATATAAGAATACCACGGTCCTACTACACGGTTAACCTCATGCCACTTCTCCGCTTCCAAAACGCAGCTCCATCTGTTAAGATTAACCTTCTGGACCCTTATCGGGCCCCTGATGTTTTCGACATTATGCACAATGACCGCGACGTAGACCCACACCATAGCTTCTTTTGCTTTCTCACAGCCGTTCTTATTGCCCTTGAGAGGACGGCGGCTTGGCGCACGTACTTTCGAGACGCGATTGTTGACATGACGGTGGATCATGCCGAGCATTTCTCTTGGACCATCAAGGTCAAGAAGGAGGCAAAAGAAGACTGGATGCCTTGGAACGCGGCAACTTCACGAGAGGGCTCGTCCAGGCAACACCTGGCTGCTGCTTCGATGTGGAAGATGAGGATTGGAATGGGCCATATAATCATGCCAAACGTTGTTGTAGCCTCGGATTAGGTCGGGCGCGGGTTCACAAAGCAATCTGTAGTGGGCTGAGGATGGGAGAGGTTCCTGGGCCAAAGGCAAGGAAGTTCGAGATGCAGGCGGTTTGTTGAGGCTTGTAGTAGCTACAGGACGAACGTCATACCCACGATGAATTGAGTGCCAATAACCTTCCACGCTTTCATACTCCGTGATGTCAAGATTGAACCACGCCTATGCAAGCTGTTTATGAGCCTATCGCCAGGCGACAGCTTCGCTTACAAGACCTCCTATATCTAGAGTACTATAGTATACACTATGCTATCTATAGAACAGCGACTATGTTAAGCCTATAACCTTTTTTAAAAACCTAAAAAACCCTTTTAAAGACTTCTTTCTAACTAATTTATAAGTCTTTTGTTTATACGGAAACACATGAATAATTAAATGATCATTTTTGAACCACGCTCCACCCCAACCCCCCTACATCGCCCCATGAACAATCGCACTTATCGCACTATAATCAGTCCCGTACCCATCATCCTCATCATCGACATCAAACCCCCTATTGCCTTTCACCGCCCACATCACTTCCTCAAGCATCTCCTGTTCCTTCATCGCTTGGGTAATTCTCGGCTGCTTCACCGTGCCATTCTTGTACACCTTCTCCCAATGCACAGTCGGATGCTGAAACTGCACTTCCAGCTTATTCTTGCGACCTGGCGGCCTAGTGATCGCTCTTAGCACATCGGAGAAGTTGTCTTGTGCAGCGTTGATCGCGCGGCGCAGGTCTAGGTTTTTGAGTTTGGGTGCGCTGACGGAGATGACGGGATCGTCGGCCATGGGTTTGAGATTGTCAAGGTTTAAGTTCCCTGTACGGCCGTTGTGGCCGGTAATGCTGAGCGAGGTGATGTTTGGGCATGCTGTGAGAATGGGTGGGATGCATGTTCCCGTGATGAGCAGGGCCGAGTCAAGCCGCAGGGTTTTGAGGTTCGGGCACGCGTGTGCTAGACGAACTACTGCATCGTCGGTGATGGGCATGTTTGTTTTACCAAGACGCGCGCCCAAACCTATCTTCTCCAATTTTGTACGAAAAGCCTCGTCTGCAGTAGCGATCGCGTCAAGATGCGCGCTGTCACGTGAGTCAGCCCCGCCCGCTACGTCCAGGAACGCGGTCACCTACTCCTGCACCACAAAGTCTGGTCCAAACTCGATTTCTTTGATGCCAGCTGTGAATCCCAGCTCCTCTGGCTTCCATTCTTCAAGTTTGGTGAACACGCGTTGCACTTTCGTTGGCTTCTTGCCAGTTGATGTACGTGATCCTCGCGCGTTGAGCCCGGACTTTTGTTGCTGGCGCTTTCGGGCTCGCTCGGCTTTCTGCTCGTCAGTGCGGCCCTTCCATTGTCGCTTTGCTGGCGCTGCAGATTCCATGGCAGCCTTGGGACTCCAATGCGAGTAGGTAAGATGATCGTCTAGGCGGATGAAAGACGTTGGCGCTCGTGATGGTTGGGCAGCGAGGGACGCTGCCTTATTTGAGACGGAAGCTCAGGCCATTGCAATGCGCAATCGAATGAGCAAGGGGTTTACACCCTTGAACGCTGATCGACACCCATGACATCGTGGTTGTATGGATTGCGATCCCCTCGTTTTCAGTTTCGGGCTCTCCGATCGAGATGATGAGGGGAACCATCGCGACTGCAGAAACAGGTTCTAGGCGATAAGCGTCGACTAGACACGCGCCTTCCTACGTAGCTCTACCAACAGCCACTCTCCTATAGCACGACGTAGCCCACACATCGGCATCGCAGGTCCTGATTTCGTACCAATGGATCATCATTCGTATCGTATCACCGCCGAAGCAGCTGCTATATGCTACCTGACTCTCGCGAGCCCTCATCACCGATCTAAAGAAACAAGAACATAGAGCCATAGATACAATTACAGATGCCCACCCATCCATCTTATGCTGAAACCCAACGCCAAACACCTTCGGTGATTAAAATGTAGTAGGAGATCCGTCAGTGGTATAGAACAATACGACCAAGCCAAAACGCCAATGTTGTCCGTGTGGAACCCCTTCCCCAAATGTAGATGTGTGTTTCTCTTATACTCCAAACTCAAGTGATTCGCCTCTTCAACCCTCCGAAGAGTCCTTTGAGACCACTGGACTCTTCCTTCTTCTTCCTCCTGTCGCGTCGGTCGGTCTCGCCACGCCTGGGCCTGGGACGGTCTTCACCATGGTCTCGAGCGCGGGGTCGATCCGACTCTACTCGACGACCACCAGATGGCCGTTCTTTCTCAACAACGGAGATACGGCGTGTCTTGGGGCGTTCTTCCGGTTTGGACATACGCCTGCTTCGACGACGCTCGCGTCTCTCCTCGTCTGAGATGGAGATCTCACCGACAACCGCAGCTGCGTCCTCGATTACCGGTGATTCGATCGTCTCGATGGGTTTCGGTTCTGGCTCGTATTCGAAAGGCTCTGGTGGCGGCGGCGGGAGATCCTCAGGCGGCGGAGGCGGTGGTGGAAGAGAAACTCCTCCGTCCCGTCCACCAGAGATTTCGTGTTCAGGACGACGCATGAAGCGTCGCTCCTCTTTCCACCTGTAGTAATCGGCCTCTTCCTCAGCAGAAGCGAAGCGACGTTGACTATGTGAAACACGCCGACTGCGGTGCATACGATCTGGGCGCTCTCGGCTCTGATCTGATGACATGTCTCGGCTCGAAGGTCGTTCAATCTCCGGTTCTCTTCGCGAAGACTTGACAGGTGTAGCTTCTAGCGTGTTGGCGCGGGCACGAGACGATCTCGACGGTTTCGCAGACGGTGGCGTCGCTTCGGGCTTTGAGCGGCCAAAGATGCCACCGAAGAGACTACCACGCTTCACGTTCGGTGGAGTCTCTCGAGTACTCAGACGCCTGCGCGGCGCACTACGAGGAGGGGTGTCGTCGACTACTGGTGGCAGCGGGGGTGGAGGTGAAGCGCCATCGTCGTCTTCCTCTGCTGCTCGGCGAGCAGCATCGCGAGAAAGATCAACAAGCTCTTCCTTTGGTTTCAGCAAGCCAGCTGCTTTGGCTGCTTCCCGCTCCGCCCTCCTCTGACGCCGTAATTTCCGAGCCTCTTCTTCTTCGCGCGCCGCCTGCTCAATCGCCTCCTGTTCCAGGCGCTTCGCCTCTTTTTCAGCCTCATGTCTTTGTCTCCTCTTCTCGTGTCGAATGCGTCGCTCCTCTTCTTCCTGGGCGAGCTTTTGCTCTTCTTTGAGCTTCTTGCGTTCCTCCATGGCCCTCATTAGCTCTTCTTCGGCACGTCTCACTGCTCGGCGTCGTTCCCGATGCTCCAGCTTTCTCGCCTCCTCTTCTGCCTTTAAGCGAGCAGCGTCTGCGGCAGCAAGTCGCTCCTTCTCAGCTCTCTCGGCCCGCCGGGCTTCGCGTCGCTTCTGTTTATCGGCTTCTTCGTCAACCTCCTCGACGGGGCGACGCTTGCTGTATCTCTCTTCACCCCTGGGTTCTCGGTAGTGCGAGCGGTACGGATCCGGGTACGCCTTCTGTATGTCGCTTCCACTACTGGCTATCTCAACCTCGCGCAATTTGGCCCTTCTGCGCTCGGCCGCTTCGCGCTCTGTCATGCTGTCGCGGCGCCTTGTTCTTGGCGCATCAGGAACGGCAGAGGCTGGCATTATTGGTCGCTCCATGATACTAGCGCCACTTTCGCGTCTGCGGCTTGGCCGGTGCTGGCTTTCACGACGGGTGTGCGAATGTCGGCGGCGGGTCTTCTCACGACTGGGTGTATCGGCTGACGGCTCGTCCTCAACTGCAAAGTCGCGCTCCCTGTCCGCGCGGTCATCAACGGTATGGCCGACTAATGCAGCAGCGGCGGCACCAGTAATCCCAGCAGCAGCAACAGCAGCCACAGATGGTAGAGGTGAAGGTGCGCTTGGAACTTCATCAACGTCGAGGGACCGGTCTGCCGGTGCATCGTCGTCGGCCTGCTGGGGTTCGGGACTCTCTTCATTGACCACCTCGGCTACGGCCTCTTCAACCTCCACTTCTGGGGCTGGTACCGACTCCTCCACATCCTGGTCTTCCAGGGTCTCTTCAGCGGCTGTATCCGCCGCTACTGGAGCGGGTTCCTCGGGCTCCTGCGTTGGTTCTGGGGTCACCTCAGCTGGTGCTTCCGGTTCCTCAGGAACGCGTTCAGTCGGCGGCTCGGGCTCGGGCTCTTCGACAGCAGCTGGTGATTCAGGTTCTGGCTGTTCCTCCTCAGGGGCTTCCGATGGTGCTTGTACCTGTTCTTCCTCGAGCTCGACATCAGGCGACGATGCCGGCTCTTCTTCATTCGTTGCTTCCCCCGGGGCTTCGTCTGCCGCAGCTTCTTCGACATCACCGCCCTCTACCACTGACTCGGCGGTCTCAGCAGGCGCTTCTTCTACCTCCGCGGCAGCCTCTTCAGGCGGTGCATCCTCTTCTGGGGCTGCCTCTGACGCAGGTGGAGCATCTTCAGCACCGTCGTCGTTCGCTTCGCTGGCTTCAACCACTGATGGCTCATCTGCCTCCCCCGTAGCTCCAGGTCCGTCGTTTGATTGGCCATCCTCACTAGGTGGCTCTGGTGACTCTTCAGCAGGTGGTGCAGGCTCGACCTCTTCCGCCTCTTCAACGAATGAAGGGTCGGCATCAGCCACAGCAGATTCTTCTTCCTGGGCCGCATCGGGGCCTTCATCGGCTGCTCCATCTGGCGTCGCCAACGGTTCTTCGGGGTCCGCAGCCTCCTCTGCCGGCGGCTCCTCTGGTTCATCTGCAGCTGCATCCTCGTCTTGCTCAACAGCTTCCGCTTCTGCTTCCGGCTCTGGTTCTGCTGCGACTGACTCAGGCGATTCTGGTTCAGCAGGCTCTTCCGTCTCTTGCTCAGCCACAGATGCATCTCCCACTTCAGATGCCGGGTTCTCGACTCCGTCGGTGGATGGATCTTCGGTAAGCGGTGCGGCGGTGTCTAGCTCCTCCCCATCCACTGTAGTCGGTGCAGCGTCGTCATCAGCCTCAGCAGGGTCTTCCAGCGGTGCAACGGACTCTCCAGCCTCGCTCTCGCTGCCAGATTCGCTGACTTGAGAAGCATCGTCGCCCTCGTCTTCCTGGGCAACTTCCTCTTCTGGTTGGGGTGCATCCGCCGGCTCAGACACCTCGGTGGCTGCTGTGGGCTCCTCTTCAGGCTCAGCAGAATCTTGTGACGAAACTAGTGAATCGTCGTTCGCAGAATCTTCTTGAGTGATAGCACTGACATCATTCTCGTCATCCCCTTGCTCCTCCTCGACTGCTTCGAGCGCAGCATCAGACGGATCTTCGACCTCTGATGCTGGAGACTCTGCAGCCGGGACGATCTCAGAGGTTGCGACATTGACTTCGAGTGATAGACCTGGATGCGCCTCTGTGACGGCGGCCGATTCGGCAGGCGACTCCGGACTCTCGGAGGCTTCTGGCTCGTCGGGCTCGGCAGCATCGTCCACTACCATGGAGCTCTCTGGCTCTTCTTGAGAATTTGAGGAGAGCCCGGAAGCAGCATCGTCATCGGAACCGGCATCGTTGTTAAGGATTGACTGATCTTCCTCCGGCTCTTCAGGCTCAGCAGCAGTGACATCAGCGACATCACTCGGCGGTGCCTCTTCGGCATTCGTTGTTTCATCTTCAGCGGTTGCTGAGTCAGGCGCGTCGTCGGCCTGGGGAACTTCAGAGGCAGAAGGTGCGGCAGACACCTCAGATCCAGACCAGTCATCATCTTCGGACTCGGACCCAGAGTCGCTCCCCGCATCGGATCCCTGCTCTTCTACTGGTTCATCATCCGGCTCCGGTCCCGTGTTGGCTCCGCTGGAAACCTCCGAATGCTGTGGCTCCTCATCGGGCCCAACGTCCTCATGGACCTGCAACGAATCAGTATACCCTTCTGAATGGCGAACGGCATCAGGCAGATGTAGGTTCGGAATCAATCACAGCTTATACATACCACTTCCGGCACCTTTTTGGCCGGCATGTCTGGTGCAGAGTCGGGCTCGGCTTCAGCTAGCGCAACGTTGGCAGCTACAACATCATGGTCGGTTTGTTCGGAAATATCTTGAAGAACAACTGGATCGCCCGCGGCGTGTTCGGTCTGCTTTTCTTCGACCGTGGGGTTTTCAATTGGCGTCTCAACGTCAGCCTCTCTCGAGACAGGGTCTGGGCTGACTTCGCTTGTCGCGTCAGCTGGGATGCTTGCGCATGTTTCGTCGGTATTGTCGTCGAGTTTGGGTAAAGGTGCTTCGGTCTCAGCTGCACTGGTCAGCGGGTACGGTGCATGGCCACTTTTGGGTGGAGGAAATTATCGCTGCTGTACAAGTAGAAGTGCAATCACGAAAAAAAAAGAAGGTGAGATTCAGAGGTGACGGGGATGTCGGGAGCCAAAAGACAAGCGGCAGAGCTAGCGCGGAGCAAAACCACGCATCTTGGAACGTCGACAAATTGCGATGCATCTATCGCAGCCCGAGACTCATGGCGACACACATGCTTCCACGTGACGATAAGCTAGTCGCAGCGGTGGCAGAATGTCCGCAGAATGTGCTGGCAGGTGGGCCAAAGGAAAATATGGGGCGTCCAATGGGGCAAGCCAACCGCTGCTCGCTAGCCCGATCCGCCGCTGGCATGGCGCGCTATTGTCGAATCGTGCGTAATTGAGCCAGCGAAAAGAAGTGCAGACGGACATAAAGATGTGAAACACAAAAAACATAGGAGATACGTACCTGTGCATGAATCTGGATTCTCCACGTCATCGGGTGTAGCCGAGACTATGACTTGCTCGCTGTCCTTGGCAGCCTCGCTACTCACCGCTGGCTCCGACTCGTCGACTGGCGATTCGTGTGCACTCGCATCGTCTTGTGCGTCTGTGCTCGCATCGGTGATGGCACTCTCCTCTGGAGCTGCTGGCGCGCTCACCTCTGGGGCGGGTTCTTGAGCTGCAGGTGCATCGCCAGCTGCAAGCTGTGCCTCTTCAGTGCCTTCATCAATACGTGTCTCAGGCGTCTGATCCTCCGCGGAAGCATCGGCTGAGTCGCCAGTCTCTTGTGGCTCGGATGGTTCTGGCGATATTTCAGAGGTTGAGGTTTCGTTCTGTTCGACGACCGCTGGTACGGCCGCGGACATATCGTCCTTGGTAGGTTCATCCTCGTTGACATCGGCTGAGACGACGGCAAATTCATCGACGTCATCGGCAACCGGAGCAAAGGTTGCAGTGTCAGACGGCTGAATGACCTGTACAGTCTCGGGCTTGTCCTGGTCTGGTGACTTCTCATCCTCATGTACAGGCTCTGATGAGTCGTGTGCGACGCTCTCTTGATCGAAGTCTTGATGCTCAGAAGGATTGGTCTCGCTCTCACCGGGTTGTGATGAGGCATCGTCGTCCTTCTCCCAGTCCGAGATGCCCATGTCAGAAACATCGTCCTCGTCTTGCTCCCAATCGGAGATATCCTGCATGGTGTCGGCGGTTGGCAGTTCTTCGTCGCTCGCCTCAACCTCCATTGTAGCAACTTCGATGGGTGCCATATCAGCAGTGTCTTGTGCCGATGTAGTAGGCTCCTCTGGTGTTACATCAGGCGTGGCTTCCGTCGTTTGCGTGTCTGTCTCTTCTGGTGTCGACGCAGCTTCTGGCTCCTCGGTGGAGGAATTGGTCTCGTCTTGTGCAGCGGTCGGCTCACTGTCGCCTTCGCCGGAGGCTGGTACGATAGCTTCGTCTGCGGGAGCAGGTTCGGGTGCGTCCGTTGCTTCTGAGGCTTCCGCTGTGGAGTCAGGTTGGAGCTCACCTGTAATCTTATCAGCATTGATTACAAATAAATTTGCTTGAACGCGGCTCGCTGTGCGACAGTAAGACATGTGTGAACTTACCGGTGGTATCAGCGCTAGCCTCGTTTGGCTCAGCTACATCCATGACCGGCTCAGTACTTGCAGGCGCTTCGGCATCTGCAACTTCAGGCTTGTCTTCGCTCTCAGTTGACGGTGTGTCGCTAGATAGAACTGGCGCAGACTCCGGAATTTCCGCAGCATCAGAAGATTCCGGAGCAGGATCTTGATCAGGTGAGGATTCAGGTGCATTGGCCTTTGCCTCAGCTGCAAGTATTGAAGCCACGACAGCGACGTCTGCCGGCGACGCTGAAGTCCATGCTCGAGCTTCCTCGACTTCGGGACTTGACGTTTCGATGTCTTGCTTCTCATCCGGTGATGGTTCTTCTTGAGCAACGCTTGTTTCTGACTTTGGTTCAGCGGCATCCTCAGCAACTTCAGTAGGAACAGGCTCGACAGCTGAGGTTTCCTCGATCATGGGTGTTTGTTCATCAACTGGCGGTTCTACCAGCGGAGCTGGCTCCTCGGCAGTAGAGACGTCTTCGACGATAGCCGGTTCCTCGGTAGAGGGCGTTTCGTCGACAACGGGTGCAGCCTCAACTTGGGCGGGCTCCTCGGTAACAGGTTTATCCTCTGTCTCTGATGCTTCTTCGACAGGAGAAGAATCCCCGAGAGTCGATGCATCTTCACCAACAAGCGTGTCTTTGGCGGCTGGGACGTCTTCAGATGGCGCTGTATCCTCGGTGGCGGGCGCCTCGGGCGTGGCGTCAACTTCGGGAGCTTCTTGGGAGGCGCTAGCTGTCTCTTCGGTGGAAGGTGCTTCCTCAGGCGCAGCTGTCTCTTCAGCAGGGGGTGCGAGTTCGTCATCAACTGCGTCTTCCACGGCTGGAGCATCATCAGTAGCGGATATCTCCTCAGCAGCGGGTGACTCTTCAGCAGCTGGGGTTTCTTCAGCAGTGGGTGTCTCTGCACCCACAACGGCCGGTTGTTCCTCAACAGGAGGTGCCTCTCCGACAGGAGGCGCTTCTTCAACAGCAGTTGCCTCTTCAACAGCAGTTGCCTCTTCAGCAGGAGCTGCCTCTTCGGCAGGAGTTACCTCTTCGGCCGGAGGCTCTTCGACAACAGGTGCCTCTTCGGCGACGGGTGCCTCTTCGACGATGGGTGCCTCTTCGACAACAGGTGCCTCTTCGACAGCAGGAGTCTCTTCAGCAGTGGGAACTGGCTCTTCAACAGCAGGAGAATCCTCCACAGCTGCCGGTGGCTCTTCTGAGCGATCAGCTTCCTCAACTGCAGGTTCCTGTTCAGCTGCCGGCGGGGCTGCTTCCTCCTGCTCCGCAACAGGCTCTTCAACAGGAGCTGACGTTTCCTCGACGGAGGCTTCTGCCTCAGCGGGCTTCGCATCCTCTGGTGGTGACGCCTCAGGCTCGACCGCATCCGCACTCTCTGTTGTAGCTTGTTCCTGTTCTGGTACCGCTTCGCTCGATGGCTGTGGTTCATCGGCTGGAGCGTCTGCGGGCGCTTCTGGGGCAGGGGCTTCTGGAGCTGTTTCTGCGGTCGGCTCGACTGGAGGTGGAGAAGTGTCTTCAGTGACTGGATCGGGTGGGGCAGGCTCCTCTGCTGTGGCATCAGTAGCTGGAGCTTCTTCGACAGGAGCAGGATTGTCGGATTGCGGTGGCTCAGCGGATTCCGCAGACGCATCTGCCGGTGATGGCTCGGCTTCAGCTGCTGGCTCGGGAGCGGCGGGAGCTAGCTCCTCGATCGGGGGACTGTCCGCGACTGCCTCGTCTTGTTCCTCCACCACATCCCCGTTGACAGCGGCCTCTTCTACCGCAGGCGGATTATCGGTCGGTGGCGGCGGGGGCGGTACTGTCTCGCTTACGATCGACCCTGAAGCGTCTTCGGTAGGTTCCTCGATGATGACGCTTTCAGAGACGTCTGAAGAGGGGGCATCTCCATCGGTGATTACTGTCGACCTGTCGTCACCGCTGCCATCACTGCTAGATTTCTTCCCTCTTGATTTGCTAGTCATCACCTTCTCACTGGCCAATGCCGAGAGCAATGAACCCCTTCGCTCCTTCTTGATAATGCCGATCGGAACGAAGACCTTCTTCTTCTCCTCTTTCGGTGGCGAAGGAGGTGGAACGGATGTCGATGGCTTTCTGGGGCGGATGAACGCGGTGGGCTTGCCTTTACCATTCCCCCACTGTTTCTTCTTTTTGCCTATGCTTGCGGCGTCTGGGTCTTTGGTGTCAGAGGCAAAATGGACAAACTTCTCGGTTGGGGATTTCGGAGGCTCTTGAGCGGCCTGCTCGGACTCACCACTTTTCTCACTCTCTACGACTACTGGCTCCGGTGTTGCATCCGCCGGTGGCGCTGGTGGGGCAGGCGGTATAGGGGGTGCAGGCTCACTGGGAGGTACTGGCAGAACTTCTGGTGCTGACGGTGCTGGAGGTGCTGCTGCTTCGGGTTCTGCAGGTGGTGCCTCTACCGGTGCTGGGGGTGGTGGTGGAGGCGGCAGTACGTCAACATTCGCGGCATCGCTCGGTCCTGGAGGCTCGTCTTTGACATCCTCGGTCACAACTTCAGCTGCCACAACGTCGTCAACACTACTTGATGGTGCCTCTGCTGGCTGGGTTGATGGATCTTCTGGTGTTGGTTCTGCTGGGGTTATTGCCGCAGATGCTTCTGCTTCTGCTGATGGCTCTTCTGCCGGAGGTGCTTCTGATGTAGCCGGTGGTGCGGCTTCTTCAGGTGTGACCTCTGCTGCTGGAGTTTCCTCCGGAGCAGCTGGAGCAGCCGGAACATTCTCTGGATCTACAATGGTCAATTGGACATGTTACGCATGATACATTCCAAGCATACCTGCTTGTTCGGCATTGCTGCTCTTCTCATCAACTACTTGCGTATATGAGAATACTGGTGTAGGTGGGACTACTCGACGATAGACGGGTTGTTGGGGCTTCGGTGTAGTCGCCGTAGCATAGAAGTTCTTCCCGGTGTTGGTGCTGCCGCTCGCATACGGGTTCGCCCATTGCGATATCGAAACATTCTCGAATTGGCGCATCGTGTATCAAACAAAGTCAGGCGCGGTGATTCGAGATCCAGAAATTCGATAAGTTGTGCTACGTGCTATAGATGTTTTCTTTGTTCCATTGCTGGTGATAACAAACGGTAGGTATGCAGAGGCGACATTAGACGTGGGGTGCGAGCATTGATTGCGGAGAGACGAATGAGAAACGGGTCAGTCTAGACGCAAAGCACAGAGGGTGGAGGTGTGCAACGTGCGTGGCTTCAATCGGCCAAAGCTGGGACGAGCGCTCAGATCAGACGAAAGAGAGGTGCAGGACAACTGTCACAAGACATGATGCGCGAAATCGTATGGAGATGCCTCGCATTGTGGGCGCAATGGTTCGGTAAGCCTCAGACTGGCATACCCGCATGCTGCCGCAGGCTCACGCTGAGAAGACGATTCTCGGCTGTAAGCATCATTGGTCCACGTAGGGAAACCCAGTTCGCTCAGGTTGATAGAGTTGGGAGCCCAGAAGGTGGGGTTTTCCACTGCGAGGGCTTTTCGATTATTGGTCCGATGATGACTTAGCTTGCAGTTGTGTCGCCAGCGCGGATCGTGGTGCAGCGTTGGTCAACGGCGAAATTTTGCGGCACCGGAAGGCTTGAGAGCGTATAGTGCGGCAAAGCGTCAATTAGCAAGGAGGGCCCTTCTCGCAACCCTCTCGATACCCAAAGAGGGCCGCGATGCAGGGGCACGCATAGGGTCGTCATGGCTAAGAGGAAAAAGTGAGGTGTTGATGGGTTGAGTGACGTGGCGTGGCACCGCGGGTCCGGAAAGCAGCCACTAAGCGACTGATTCATGAGGGCCGACCCGGGTTTGGTCGTACCTGCCACTACCTGCAGCGACGTGGGACATTCACAAAGAAGCATCCTGCTGACCCCACCACCAAAACCCTTGGTACAACGAAGCCGTCGCATAGCATAGCGGTATGGAGGGGCCTCCGGTGTCATCGACTTTAGTCGCAGCTCCAGATCGCGATGCTGCGACTAACTTTCCTCGCTGTCCAATCTTCGACGGAGGCCATTGGTGACGTGCATCCAGTCGACGATAGGTGGAATTGATTATGCAGCGGTTATCGAGGCTTTTCGAAAAGACGCGAAGGGTAAGGAAGATTACCCAGAATGGCGGGCGAATCTATTGTCAGTACGTGTTCGCAGCTCAATGCTCAATGCCCCAATCAACGTAGATGAGTTGATTACCGCGCTGCAAGCGAGCATGTCGTCAGATGCGCTCATGTAAGCAGTTCTGGATTCATCTAGCCTGAGGATGGGTCTGGGTCACGTGAGTAGGATCATCTATGAATGGACGAATCTGAAGCTCTCTCTCGGATTTACTTGGCAGGCAGTCTCATTCGACGGATGTTCGAAGCGTCACATCAACTCATCTAAGGAAAGCGCTGAACAGGTCTAAAGACTACTTTGTACACTGGGATAGAAGAACGAGACCAGAGGACTTGGAGCCGATGTAGGGTATTCATTTCTCTTGATTGAGCTGTTACCAACAATTCGCCTATGATGAATTCCATAATATCATTTCGAGGCCGAAATAAGTCTAGCTGCGAGCGCCATCAATTGATGTTCTCTGATCTACTACACTCATCACGTGCCCACCTCAATTGAGCACAGCTACCCCCTAACGATCAAGAAATCTCTCACCATTTTCCCAATCGACATACACCCACCACGTCCGCGTACTCCCTCTTCATCTATCCCCATAGCCGCCATCCATTCCCGATTCACCTCTTGATCCCTCTTGCATTTTTCGCACTCACGCCTCTTCCCCCTGTGCTTCTTATGAGATTTATGCGGTATCGTCGTAACATGCACATCCGTCTTCGACCAAACACGCTGCTCAAGTGTGTGCCAAGTAGTAAGATTCATTGTAGGCGGCAAAGTGGGTGATGCGGATGTGAGCGTAATAGTAGGTGTGCTTTCGAAATAATCGCTGTTACTCAGCACTATCGTGGGTGGGTTTTGCCTTTCATAAGACGGCTTTGCTTCCTCTAGTGGTGTGTAGAGTCGCTTTGGATTGAGTACGTTCATCCAGTCGAGGGTCTCGCGCCATTCTTGTGTAAGTTCGGAGCCGCAGCTCTTCCATGTCTTTTTCAGTGTTGAGGCGCTGATGGTGGGCATGGACCATCGTTGTTTTGCCGTGATTGGGGTGGGCAGGTGGGTTGTAGCCGGTGATGGTGAAGACGATGGACAGCAGACAAGGCAGTCGGCTTGGTCTTGCGCGTCGGCATAGGCGCAGGCCCAACATTGGGTGCTGTTGGCAGACATGGCTTTGTCTTTGATGCGGTGTCTTTCTGAAAGGGGATTTTTTGAAGGAGGACTGACGGATTTTGTTGATTGCAGGCGAGTGAAATATGAAGAGAGAGACTGGATATCCAAGAGAAAGTGAAGAAGACTACCATGACTGAGATATTCTGTTCTGTAAAAGAAATGGCTTTCCAAGTGTTGTGAGTCGCTGAAGTTGGTTAGCAAACCATGGTTCTAACACGATGTGTGACCAAGCACAACGTGGGCTCAAGGCAACCATTTGGCCGCAGATAGCAAACTACGTCTAAGTCTATGAACACGGAGTGTATTGAGAGAAGAATGTGCGTAAAATCATGACGTTCCTGCCCTCGCTGCCTTGGCTCTTTCCTCATCGCGCTCATGGCGCGCTTTCATGACTCACGCTACTCGAGATGAGAAGGCGCACCTCTAGCCAGCCCAGGAAGCAGTGCTATCAGTGTTCTTTTGGAAGTGTCGCTTGCGAGACATGAAGATACTCGGTTCGCCGAACTCGGCCTCCGTTTTGTATGAGTGATAAGTTTCCAATCCACTCTTGTGAGATACCGAAAACGAGCCTAATGAAGATGTTATCTAGCACGTATACTGAAAGAGATATCAGATTTACTTATATATGAACCTTGAAACCGCTATGTCGCCGCGAAAGTGGGTATCGTTCATCAGTCATAATCGTAAAAGAAGCATTCGTCTCGAGTTCAAAGTAGCACCCAGTCCACAGCCACTGTCCATTTCTCCTCGCTCACGTCAACGTCCCACATAGGTGCGCGAATGCCTATTATACTACCAGTCTTGACGAGGACACCTCCCGAGCTCCTAGCACCACCTTGGCCGGCTAGCAAGACTCTAATCGGTGTATGTTCTCCACCCATACTCTCCGTTCTGGAAGCATTATACATGCCAGCCTCAGTATCGCCGTATGCGAAGACGACGCCACCTGCATAGCACTCTACTTCTGCTGCGCTACGGCTCCGCCCTCCGCCTCTCGAGAGACTCGAGACCCGTATCCGCAGCTTCACGCCGTCTTCCCTGTCACGACCAGAGGCTGCACCGCTCCTATCCTGCGCCGCGAACCCTGTATTTGCCGTCTCGATCATCCAGGTTGTGACGGTCGAGGCAAGGCCGTTAGGTATGTATTTGCCGTTCTTTCGCGAAGGGGAGAAGATCTCAGGCAGCGGTCGAGAAGGCTTCGGGGGCGAGGTCGGGAGCGCGGGGAGTATGAAATGGGGGCGTTGCGGTGCACTCGCCGACGTGGAAGTCACCGCTGCGATGCTGGGGAATGGCGCAGGCGTCCGTGGCGGCGGAACTTTGAAGCGGTGCGTAGTCGCATTGGATACGGGGGCTGGTGTGGAGGGCTCGGATGGTTGTTGGAGTGATGGCGAGCTTGCAGGGGACATGCGACGACGCTTGTTCGTTTGGACTGATTCGAAGAGCATATCGTCTTCTTGGTCTTCTCCTCGTCTGTCCCAGTGGTTGAACTCAATGTCCCCGCCTTCGATGGATTGCATAACATCTTCGCCGTGTAGACCATCTTGCGTTTCTGACTGACTTGACTGAGACGGTTCTTCTATGCTTTCCACTCTTTCGAATTTCCTCCGTAGCTTCGGCAGTGGTGTAGCATGTGCGAATGCATCTTCCTGCGGCTCATCGCGTCTCTCCTTGGTGGTTTCTTGCGTTTGCCGAGGCGGTGCGAAGACAAAGCGCTTTGCAGGTGTCAACTTCTTGAACTGCAGCTCAGGCTTTGCTTGGGCCTTCTTTGCAGAAGCTGGTGTCTGTATAGCGAGGGCATTGCGCAGGCCAGATTGTGGTTTCTTCGTCTTCTGCGTGGAAGGCGGATTTGGCGCTAGGAAGCGGTGCGGGGAGGGCGTATGGGTCGGCATCGTATGAGCAACATCGGCGCTTGCGGTGTGTTCGATATGGCGGGTAGGTGATGTTCGGCGGTATTCGTTGTGGGTGGAGGGATGGACGTGGTGGCGAGACTGGCGAGGCCGAGGCCATCGCAAGCGCGATGCAGTCGCGAAAACGCGGGGGCGCGTGGTCAGCAGGCTGCGCGTTTGGCAGGCGCGTCACGTGTCTACAACTTCACCCTTCCCATCGCAGTAGACTCCTTCCTCGTAGCATGCCCCTATTCTTGTTTGACGGGCGGTATATTGCGCCGCGCAGAATTTAGACGCATCCTTTCCAGCCTCCGAACCAGACACTATTCTCTCAACATCCACTCTAGAGTGCATCCCGAAGGCAGACTACCACAGATATATCTCTTACAAGACTGCTTAGACATTGGTCAGGTTACTAGCTACACGAACTGTATTACAGGGTACATCGTCTGAAAGCTGGATTTTGCACAATTCAACAGTCTCGCACCGGCTCACATGTCATGATCTCAACGACGTGATAGATCCAGCCTCGGGAATCTCTAGATAAGCTTTACCGAGCTTAGATGCCTTCCGCATGTCAATTCTTGCGCGAAGGATCTGTTACAACCAAGCTCTATGTATATCATCCCACGCGCAATCTCCACAATAGTGACAACTGCCGCATGTTTCCTGATACCGGACGAATCGGGGTGCTGGCATTGGGCGTCAACTGGATTCGGCGATACCAGCCATCTTTCGCAGACCTGCGTTGGGTCTGTGGGATCGCAATGGGGTGATCTCGCGATTGGCGCCGGCCCGGGGGTGATCAACGGTATCCCAGCTTACC